AGATGTGGGTGGGTAAGAACAGTTGGCTGGAAATGGTACCTAATGACACAAACACCTAGTCGGTGGGACAGAAACAGCTACAGGCAGAAGACAAATTCTCTCGGCCCCTCTGAGGACTTCCATGTGGTCTAACTTTTCCCCAAGTAGTCCTTGATCTTTGGAGATGCATGGGCTTTAATTTTGCCAAGAAGGAATGTCTATGTATACCGGAGTTAACATCATAGCAGCCCTATTTTAGGCCAAAATCGTGTATATATTTATACCCACAGAGTAGTTGGAGATTTTGAAAACAATCATTGTTTAAAGTTCAGAGAAAATCTATTAAATCGTTTTCTGAGAGTTGAGGTTCATAGATCCTCTATGTCTCCCACCCTACAGTTCCTTGGTAAAGATAGATTCAAGGAGGCACAACGGGATCTAAGTATAGTGTTAAAGTTTAATGATGGTTAAGCTAGATTGGAGGACGTGGCTGGGCTTTCTGTCCTCTAGGAACTTAGACTGCTGCAACCCAACTTATTTAGGTGGGAGTAAGCAGAAAGCCTGGAATTACATAGCACGTTCCTGGGTGGCTCTGGGCAAGAGGCCGCTACGTCTAGTTGTAAGACGGTGTCAGCCTGGATATAGGTGCTCCATGCTGCCGCAAGAGCAGATGTGCCCTGTACTTCCACCCCCTCTTGTAAATTTCCACGAATATTGAGCTCTCATCAACTGTCACCAAGCAAGATCAGAAGTACCTATGCACACGTACGCACTAAATCAAGAGCAGGAAAAAGTCACTGCTTCTGCTGACCTGCAGGTGTTGTTGATTGTAGGGGGATTCCATTTTAATTAAAGGGGTAGGGGAGATAAAGCCTTTCATTGTAAATACTTTCAGCTTCACTGCAGATTTCTAGAAGATGTGCATCCTGTTGAAAATCAGTTGATTCTAAACATCCAAAGCTAAAAGAACATTTTTGACAGCAGTGGCAAAAGCAATAACAACAAAAAAAGTCAGTAAATTTTAATCTATATTATGTTTATTATGGAAAATAAAATGCAAAAAATCATACTTAAATTTTTTTTAGGGTAAAACTAAGTCATCCATTGAATTTCCTTCCTTCCTTCATTCAAAAATCAAACCCAAAATGAGAACAGAAGTGTATATAATTTCAAAATCTTGATTTATCCTTATATAAATCTTAAGATTCCATCTTTTTCCTAGGAAATGAAATTTTATTTGTAGGATAATTCCTGGAGGATGGGGGCTTTCTTGAATAAACCATTTTATGACTTTCATATATAGACATCATGAAAAGACATAGATTTAGATTCTAATATTGATACATTCATAAATGGAATTCATTTTGAATATTACTGTTTCTTTAGAGATTTAACACTCTACTTCTGGTCTTTCTCAGTTGAGCATTTATACACATAAATGATTTTCACCTTGACAGCTATATATAAATTAATACACATATTCCAAAATAATTACATGAATTTATCTTTTAAGCAATAGGAAATATTGACAAACATGAAGATTTTAGGTATCCTGCTCTTATAAACAAGTATGTTTTTAGCAGTTAAAAAACAATCAGCTACAGTTGTAATTGTAGTGTTATTATTGGTTAACCTTTTATTTTTATCTATGATATAAAGATGGCACATTCATTCTCTAAAACATAGATTTGCATTAAATATTATTAACTTTCTACTGAGAAGTGGTTATTTTTGCACTTTGCCACACAGAATTCTCTATTAATGGGAACTCTCCTATATCCATTTCGATCTTCAACCTAATACCCAGCCAATAAATTTTTAGTGTCAGGGAATCAGGGTCAAATTTGATTTTAGGAACCAGATCAGAGTTTCTTATCTCTAATAGAGTATTTCCTTTTAGAAAAAATGAGAGAAACTCACACATCAGTTCGCCAACCCGAATTGTGGTAAATTGACAGATGTCCAGTGTTGATGTTTCCTGGCTAATGTCTCTCATCTCGTTATCTAGTTCACACAGCATTGCCTGTTATCAATAACAGTAACTTATTTGAGTCCATTTAAGGAACTCCTGATTGTTCGTATTCTAGTATCCTACCAACATCGTCTGCAGTTTTCTAAAAAAATTTCACTCTGACTTCTCTTTGGCATTGCTAAACATTGTTTTGCCAATCTCAACAGAATGCCTACAATCATTTTTCACTTTGAGTGATTATACACTGTTTTGAAATCTAGGGACGGTTCTCTAAAAAAAGGTAGGGCTTTTACCAGCCTGTGCAAATAAGTGTACAAATGGAGCCTACAAAACATTAATTTTCCCTAGTGTTTGTCTTTACCAGATATAAAATTAGGTGCTTGAACAGTAGCATCAAACCTTTGAAGCTGCTCAGGTACCAGTCTATGCCTGAGTGAGACACTGACTAGATTTTCATAGTGAGGCTCAGCTTTCTGAAGCACCAAATCTGCTACCTGGGAGTAGAACACCATTTAATGGGGAGTTATTTGATTCAATATTAATGTATGTAAAACAGAACAGTCATGGAAAGATGAAGTTTCCAATTAGTTGTTTTGTGATTTTAGATATTAACAATATGAATAAAATGCATTTATGTGTGTGTGTGTGTATATATATGTATATATATATATGTGTGTAAGCTATTTACAGTTATGCCATGTATACATTTTTACGTGTAGAAAATGAAAATACTCATTGATTAGCCCTTTTGAGGCTTTTGAACAACTGTTTTTTTTTCCTGCTTTCCTACGACTCCTTGAGGATTTAGATAATTCATACAAGGTATGTACACAATCACACCCATAGTATGTACATCCTAGTCACACACTTAACACAGAAAGGATGTGTGAGGAATGTAAATCATCCCAGCGGTCAAAGAACTGACCTTACCTGTGACAAATGGCACGGTTAATTAAGCCGGCATATTTAGTAACATGCCAGTGTACAGCCAACGTATTCAGCCTTTGAGATAAGTACGTTATCGACTTTCAGAGATGATTAAAAGAAAGAAACAAACAGCCCTTTCTGACCTTCAAAAATGAAAGGACAAATTCTGTTACTGAATACATACGCACACTTCTGTTGGCTTTATTCATGTTTGTACATGTGCCTACTTGATGGCAGAACTGGGTTTTGAAATGGGACACAGCATGTGATTTTTTTTTCTACACATAAAAAGAGAAAACCAACCACTCACAGACTGTACACACTTACAAAATGTATTGACGCACCACGACCAGCTACAGTATTATGCACAACATACTGTTCACACATTAGTACAGCAGAGATAAGTACATTTGGAAATTTAGTAATTATTAGTATATTTCCTTCTTGAGTTTTCAGGCCCTGTTGACCTTTCTCAGCCTCAGGAAAAGCTATCTCCAGATGTCCTGAAAACAAAAATTAGTCTCTCCTTTCCTCTAGGGATGGCGGAGCGTGACTATAATACTGCTGTCTTCGGATTTACCAACATCGTTTCAAGAGGTGACGGAAAAACATTATGAAAAACGACTCTCTCAAAGATGTGGCCTAAAATAAATGCTAAGGAATCTCAACTAAAATCATGAGGAGATCCTGATAAACATAGGTATGCCCCTTCTACCCATTCAGCACAGTTTGCTCTATATGTAGTCTTTACGTGATATTAAAGCAATGATAACGAATCAGAAAAAAAATTATTTACATGCTTAAAAGCTTTGTTAAAGAATAGACACTTCAATTTTTTAAAGTAACAAAGAGTAATGCTAGCCGCAACGTCAAAAAGAAGCTATAATTTCACCCTGCAAATAAATGGATGACATCCCCACATCATAAGAGATCAAGAAGGAAGTTAGCACTTCTCTCCCATTTTTTTCTCCTTAGCACACTTAAATCACTAGGGTATTTCTAATCGTAATTATCACCATGCTGACTGGTCATCAGAATCTTTTTCTGAAGTGTAAAATACGTGACTTATTCCTACAGGTTTGCAGCCAATCGATTCTGAGCTTGAACTGAAAAAGGACTTGATGAAGGATTAGTACTTAGAAACGCCCATCTGGAACACCATTTTCTGTAAGGCATTATTTGAGACCCCTTTTTGAAGTTGAGTACTCATGTTTTAGTTATTTTACATTTGGAACCCATTTTTTCCATAGCTAAAGCTGGTAATCCTCTAGGCAGAGTTAAGTGGGTTTTCTACACCCAAATATCCAGGAAGAGTGATTACTGTGTGTTTAACCTCTCCGTTTCAATGAAGTTTCTGTTTGGAGCGGTCTTGAATTCTAAGCTGGCAAGACTTTTTGACTCCTTTTTGTCTTCGCTAACACTAAGATAGAGATGTCGACCGTATCCCTACTAATGCTTACCGGTGCCGTACCTCTGTAATGGAGCTCCTAAACAAGTATTTCTAGCAAGAAAGCAGAAGTTATGCCTTTGCTTATTTTATCCTGTGGGTTACAGTCAGTCTTCATGGAGCAAACCATATTCTATGATAGAGTGCCCATATAGATGCACTTGCTGGTATTAACTGCCTCTTTTTGGCACATTATTGCTTGGCTTTAATTTCGTTTTCAACAGTCTTTATTCTCAAGATGAATATCTGAGATATCTGGGTCTTAAAAAAAAAAAAAACAAAAACAAAACACCAAACTTGTGAATTACATCTTGTTGCACCATTCTGGCCTCCAAGGTCATTTCACCAAGGCCCATGGTGATTTAAATGTTCTTTACAATTATCATCACCTTGATTTAACTGATAGTCGACAGTAATTTTTCAGGATTTTTTTTGTTGTTTCTATCTACATGTATATACAGATATACTGGATTTACTTTGAGAGAGGTTATTTGGTTGTGGCAAGTAAGTAGTTTAGCTGGTGAATGTTCACAGTTAAGAGTAGCTGTAATGACCTCTGGCAGATGTCACTGATTACTTGTGAGATTTTTTTCCACCTCGATCCATCTTCATTTATGTCCTTGGTCATCACAAATCAAGTTTATCTTATTTCTGTAGCCAAGGAGAATTCCCCCCCCACCCAAGAGTAAGATAAAGTTCATGGAAATGTTTCAGTATTTACAAGACTATATTTTTACCCTTTTGCAAAAATGTCTAAAATTTTGTAGACATCCTTAAGCCCATGTGTCTGCACAGATGACGGTTGTAATTACTCAGCCAGTTGCAGAATTTCATGAAGGATATAGTTACAAGAATGGACAGGAGATTCAGTGTATCACCTGTTATTTGCCAGGTGGCAGCAGCTGACCCACATTTGGAGAGATTCAACCAAAAGGGCCACACACAGCATCAAAGAACATTGCTAACAGAAAACAAACTGCTCAGATATCAATATAAAATAGCAAACACTGAAGCAGACACAGACAAGACTTCTGATTCACTGTGTAGACAAAACAGGGGTGGGGACAAGATGGTCAGCTCATTTATCCAAGATACTGCCCAGTTCACCCTGTTATTATCACAAAGGGAAATTCACAGGCATCATTTCTCAAATACCACTCAGGACAAAGCAGGAGAGAGAAAACAGCATCATTTCCATGGCAGTATTGTAGACGATGAGTAAATCAGACCGGTCGAGGCCTACACATGGCTGCAAGGGCCCAATTTTCAGTAAAAACACATATATGTATACGCAAACCTTATCCTAAGGTATTGTTTTCTTTATACTGATTCTTAAAAAGTAGACAGGGGAAGTGGTGAATTATGTGGTACTAGAAATGGACAAATTCTTTTAACACTTGCACAATACGTAGGAGGAATAGAAGATATTTTCTCACATTTTGGCAGCAAACAGTAACTGAGTGGATATAGCAAAGGCCAAACAATTTACTTTAACAGCACACTTATATATATTCTCTGTAAACACATTTTAAAGTCACATTATATTATAATCTTCATGTGGTATATACAGGTACTCCCAGAATGATGGGAATTCCTAGAAATGAGAGGAATAACATTGGAATAAGCTAGGAACCATAAAACCTCAAAACTCTCGGAGGCAACCCAAAGTCATTTTCTTCTTCTGTTATCTACCTTAAAATGGCAAGCTCCTATTAAGGATTTGGTTCCAAAATTCAACCTCTAGGGTATATGTTACACATGCATATTCACTACAGTTTATTTAACTTCTGCTCTGTAAGCAGTAACGTGAAGAATACTGGTATCCAAAATAACAATTATCAGACAATTCTAAAGATTTAGAAATCATCAAAAACCAAGTTATATTCAATGCAGCTGAACTTGTCAAGGTAGGAAAACATACCAATATATTTTATAAATACTTCATTTTGGACACAAAAAGGTTTCTTTGACCTAACAAAATATTCAACTTATGCCATTGGTCCAAAACACAAACATAAATGAGGATTTTACTATGTGTAAAGCAGTTGGTCTGTGGCATCAAAGCCAATAATCCAGAAAGAGATAATTAGGAAAGCACTGAAGATAAACATAGGATAGCTGAAGCAATGACATATTTCTTGTGGTCATTAAAATAGAAAAAAAAAATCAATATTTAAATTCTAGTATTTACTGGGTAAGCCATATAGCATCTGAACATCTTAAATGTCTCATTATCTTCCAGGCACTGTGTTCTAACTCATCTCTCTTACGCTACTGGCTTAAGAAATATTGCATATTTATCTACCCAATAAGGTATTTCCTCCATATATTTCAATGACTAAAAAGCATTCAGGATCTAAAAGAAATTAAGGATAAAACCAACTTTCAACCTGGTATGTGTCATACAGGTAAGCTGAGAATAGAGCCAAACAAGCTCAAAGAATCTGCCACAAAAACTGTTTTCCACGTTCATTTGTTGGATGAACCTAAAGCATCACGAACGCCTACTGCATGTCAATGCCATGTCACAGACTGAAGGGAAGGAAAATCTTCAAATCAAGGTTTTTTGTGTTGAGTACTCAGGGTATCCTATAGCAAAAGCAGGGCTTGTCTTCAATAGGCTCCTTAATTGGTCATTTGATGGTCCATTTTATTACTGTTTTGAAAAGCTGTTCCTTCCTTAAGAGTCAATAAACAACCAAACAAGAAAGGTTTCCTCCTATTCTGTGAATCGCTGGAGTGGGGGAAAAGTAAAAGTGAAGAGTTAAACCATTAAAGCTTAAGAAGGAAAGGCTAGTTCCAGTACCAAAAAAACCCGGTTAGACGTACTCCATCAAACGTGAAGTCTTAACCCTGAGAGGCACCACCTCAATGCTGAATTTAGTTTTAAGTAATTCAGTGTAATTTTCCTAATTTGTTTCATGTGCGACAAATGCCAATGACTCTCTTAGGTCTCTGCTTCATCTTTAATTTGAACTATTTATAATTTTTAAACTTCACGACTTATAAATTTAGAATTACAAATTTATAAGTTAACTTGAACTCTTTATAATTCATGTGGTGACACCAAACTCATGAAAATAAATATTATTCCCAGATGCTTAAATTCTTCTTTTTCTTCTATTTTAATGCAGGAACAGCCTGTTCTAGCCACTTCCCGGCAGAGGATTACCTGGGGCCCACCCATCTGGAGCGGGTACTGTTGACAGCTGCTACTGTGTACACAGGGTGTTCTCCGTGCATATACAGCATGTAGGCCAATGCGTGAGGGAGACAGGCAGGGAGGACGGGCTCAGAGCGAGACTATAGCCTGGCAGAGGGATCTCCAACGAAAGCCACAGAACACTACTGTGAATGGATATTCAAGGCCCAAAGAGAGTTTTAGACTAAATCTCTCATCATTAATAGTAATGTGATTGCTAATTTGATGGCAATTTCTATTTCAGGTAGTGTTCTTAATAGAGGCCAATTGGTAAGAAACGGAAAAACGCACCTCATTAAAAAATTCATTATCAGTTCCAAGCATAACAAACTGTAATTTTATTTCTGAGGCCCTGGGAGCACTGGGACTGGAGCCTTTTAGGCGGTCTTCATATACACTCCAATTGCTTCACAAGAAACCAATGGCTATATATTAATTTGGGCTGTGCCCAGTTTAGCATATGGGTGTTAACAGTTCAGGTATGATTTTGCCCTATATGTGCAGAATCTGCAAAAGAGAATAATAAAAAAAAAAAAAAAAAAAAAAAGAGGCCAAAACAGAGATTGTGAGCTTCCTGCACCAATGGCATTTGTGAGTTTTCCACAGAGAGGGAATACATGGCCAGACACTCTTTTCGGACTCATCGAGGGGAACAAGCTCAGGCAAGGCAACCAGCGAGCACCCCTTCCATGCTAAACAATCTGATTTTCTAATGCAAGGTAGACACCAGCGATGTCCCTGTAATGAATCTAGGAGGGGAAACTTTTCCAGGGCCCAATCTCATTTCCCTCTTCCACACTCTCTCAGCTCTCAAGCCACTGCTGATCGTCCAGCCCGGTGCCCTGCAAGACAGTCCTGGGCAAGAAGGACGTGCTCCTCTTCTGGAAACAGATGCGGGCTGAGCTCAAACACATGCCTATGTTCTCAAAAACTACAGACCACCTGACGCTCAAACCCCGTTTTAGTGAAGGCCTCTTTTATTGGATTTGAAGCATGAGATAGGAAAGTATTTCTCTTAAAATCAGTAAGTTCACACAGGCTACCTTTTTACTACAGATTAGAAACTTGGCAATTACATGATATTCGTCTACCTAACAAAAACTGTGCGGAAGCTTCTGTTCTATTTGGTGTTGACTACATTTTCTATTAGACACTACTATTGAACAAGTAGTTACTGACCAAGCAAGTCAAAAGAAAGACAGAAACTGCAGCCTCTTTTCAGGAGGTGAAATTAAATGTATTGCTTTTGTTATTTTTTTTTCAACAAAGAGAAGAGAGTGTTTGGTAAACTGGCTGTTCATAATTCTTTACTGAAACCTTAATACTCTCAGTAGGATGTTTTTGGAGGACACCTGTACAATACAAACTTTAGTATTATTAATAATTCAAGGACTCCTTCCAAGAATTTGGTCGATGTACTTCCTCTAAAGAGATATGAATTTAATCCAGTCAGAATCAGAGCTGCCCCTTGCCTTCCATGCAGGGAAATCTGTATATACAAATTCATGTTTTATGTGGGCGGTATTCATAGTCAAAACTTAGCTCATTTTCCTAACATAACTTTCTTACATTTATTAACGGTATAACAAGGTTTAGAAAAACAGCTATCTGCAGATGTTTACAAGTATTAATTCATGTTTGGTATTTTATGCATTTAAATGCTTTTACTTAATGTCATCTGGCCTAAGAGTGAGTCAAAATTTGTTTCTCATTTTTTACCTTTTAGTTCTTATCATCTATTTAAATTTTGTGTGGTAGTGGCATTCTTATTGCAATATGACTAGAGAGTCTAACAGTGCTTTTGCTTATAGTGTTTTTGCTATTTTTAATGTTAAGCAGGGATTTTAATGGAAATACCAGAGTGTGATAAATTGAGGCAGTAATTCTAAATGACACATGTTTGATGATAATGCTAGTTCCAGAAGCAACATCATAATTAAAAAAAAAAAAAACCAGGAAATTTTATTTCCTCTTAATTAAGGTCATGAACCTTCAGTAACGCTTCCTTCTTTTCTCTTGTCCTTTCTTGCGAATTGAACTATTTTCATTCATGGAGCCCTAATCAAGGGACCCAACAAAGCTTCATAGCCACTATAGTTAATACTTGCTTTCTCTAACTGGTCTCTCGAAAAAAAAAAACAAAACAAAACCCAAAAAACTAAGTAAGCTCTGACATACACAGACACTCGGGAATACCGTAACTGTGCACGAGGGTTCCCATACACGTTCCCTTTCAGTCTAACACAGAAGAAGGGGCGGGACGAACACAGCAGTTGGGGCGTCGAAAGTTCTGCAACATGGACTGCAGGACGCTGTGCTGCCTTCCTTTGAGCTTTTTGTTGGAAGAAGTGTCTGAGGAAATGGATCTCCGGGCCTGGCTGCTTTGAGCTTTGATTAATTTCTCGTGTTCCCTGATTTGTCTTTGTAGATGGTTCTGGATGGCGATGCCCAGGGACTCCGGGTCCAGGGAGGCACCGTACACCTCCCAGGTCATGCCCTGCTCATCCCACACGACATCCCTGACACGCTTGGACTGTTTCAACTGCAGCTTGGCGTCCGTGCTAAGTTGCTTCTTCTTCTCTCCCGGGGTGAGTCCCACCTGCGCGGCCGCCGCCGTCACGTTTAACTTCTGCTCCTTGAGGAACTCGCTGACGCGGCTGGCCCTGCGGGGGCTGGCTTTGACCAGGCGGGAAGGGGTCCTCTTGCCAGAACCTGGGCTGGAGTCCCCCATGGAGTCAGCCGGCAGGCTCAGGCTGGTGGCCGTCTTGGTCTGTCTGCTTTCTTCCAAGGTACCGTCCTGGTTCTTCCTGACCGGGGACGGTGTGGGGCTGGCAGCGGATCCAGCGCCTGCACTTTCTTGAGATTTAGGGTTGAGCAGCAGGGTCTTGGCCTCTCCCCTTGCCCTGGCTTCGAGGTTATCTGTGCCCCGACATTCCTGCTGTTTTACTCTGCGCGGAGATGCAGGCTCTGTTGCCTGTCCTTTACCAGCGGGATCCACGCTCCCGGACGGGTCGTCTTTGCTGGCAGGGCCACAAGAGTCAGAGAGTTGGCAGTCTGGGTTTGTTTGGGGACCATCTGTGGTTTTCACTGCAAACTCAGATGGCTTGCTTTCAAATTTCCCCAATTCATGATTTGTTTCAGTTTGACTTCCTGCGCGAACAGAAATTTGGTCAGTCGGGCTAGCTTTCTGGGAGCTAGAATTCACGTCCGAAAGCTGTCTGGAGGTGGGCTCCTCCCCTGTCGGGGCCATGCCTGCTGACCCCCCATCTTTCTTGCACATATCTTGAGCCTTTCCAGATGCCACAGTGATCGTGGAGATTTGAAGGACCTCCCCTGGGAGGCTCCCCAATTTACAGTCCCCTTGGCAAGCTGTGGAAACTGCCGCAGTTGCCTGGATGTGCACCTCTGGCATGATGCCAGGGCACTGGCTCGACTCCTGGGGGGCTAGGATGTCATCAGACAGCTCTAGCGTGTGGCTGCCGTGGCTGCTGCTGTGGCAGATGACACGCAGCTGCTCCTGTGGTTCTCGACGCTCGGGAATGGGGATTTCCTTTAGGAACGCGGTGAGGATGCTGGGGCTGGTGGAGACGGACCTGCTCTCGACACTTGCCACTGCCTGCACCTCAGCATCTTGCCGAGCCCTGCTGGCAACCTCCTGTACCTCACCGGCAGGTTGATTGGTCATTGTACTTGCTTCTTTGAACCTTGAAACCTGGTGCTGTGCAGGCAATGGCACCTTTCCCAGATCTGGAGGAAATGCGGACTCTTGGCTAGTGAGGTGGGATGGTTGAGATGTCACAGAAGTCATGGCCTGGCTGTCCGAGGTGGTGGTAGAGCGCTGTGTATGTCCAGAACACCTGTCTTCTCTCGCTGGAGACTCACAGGACCTTGTCTGGGAGTCGAGAATGGCTCCGGGCCTCTCCCCTTCAGGTCCGCCTCCAGGAGAGCAGGTGTAGCTGAACACAGACGCCGCTGTATTTGCAGTTTGCACCAGTCCCTGGACTATTTCTTGAGAGGGAAAATCACAGGGCACTTGGGCTTTTCTGTTGCCCTGGGTGCTGCCCACAGGACAACTTGACTTTCCAGGTTGCTCCCCGTCTGATGTTCTCCGGGTTTTCAGCAGCGTATCATCAGGTCCTGCTAAGGGGCTGGCACTAGGCTGGTCGCCTGGGATGGCCTGGTGGCTGTGTTGATTGGCTGGCATTGTAAATGCTTCGTCTAGAACATCCTTTCCTGCTGCAGAACACGGAGCTGGTGCTGTGGGCTCGCTGCTTCCCAGCAGCTGGGTATTGCCAGGAGAGTTGCATGGAGGACACGCTTTTTCCACCTCACTGAAGACACTGGGGGAAGACATGTCCAGCGGGGTGGTCTCATGCTCAAAGGCCTGCATCAAGGCCTCAGCAGCTGCCCTGGGGCTGAGGACAGGCCCTTCAGGAGGGCCAGAAAGGCCATTGGTGTTCTTACAGAGGAGGGCTGGTCGAGACCGAGGTGAGGCAGGCTGCACTTCTTCTAGATCCTCTTCTTTTCCAGAAGCTGCAAGCAAGGAAGTTTTAGCCGATCTCAAAGGGTCAGGTACGGTCCCCATGGAATTCTTCTTCAGGAAAACCTCAGCACTCTCCCCAGAGCAGTCTCCCTCTGGGAAGCAGTATCAGCTCAGAGTGAAGACTCAGTCAGGGATGATTCCTCTGAGGGGTCCATCTGCGAATGAGGGAAACAGTATCATTAATATGGTATAGCATGTAAAGCCTGAAAATACACCAGCCGGTCATTTTTGCCAGATCTTACAAGCACATTAAAATTTTCTCCTATATCTGTTGATATAAGAAAAGATCTTAGGAAGAAAGATTTTGAAAAGAATATCTTAATTATACAAGTCTTATTTTGGTGCATTAGTACCTGCTTGCATCCCACTGCTGTCTAGCAAACAGGTTTTTAATGTATTAACCTAAGCATACGGTAACGACCCAAAAGTCATTTGTGTAGTCTGATTTACTGCTACCAGAAAATCCTATAAAGCTACTGTAATCAAATCAGTAAGTATTGAAATAGGCCTAAACAGATATATGAAATAGAATATCTAGAGATAGATCCACATATAAATGAAGATTTAATATGTGACAAGAGAGGCAGTTCAATTTAGCAGCGAAGTGATGGATTATTTAATATAAGGAGCTGGCAAACTGTTAATGCATCTAGAAGAAAAGAAAACTAGATGTTTATCTTACACCAACTCCAAAAATAAATCCTGAATGCATTTAGATGGATTAAAGGTTGAAATGTAAAATAAACAAATAAATAAGAAGCCTGTAAGAAAATCTAGGAAACATAAATATAATCTAGGAGCAGAGAGAGTAGGCTTCTTTTAGCAAAGGAGAAAATACAGAAACTATAAGAAAAAACATAAACCTAAGTGACTGAATAAAACCCGAGAATTCTATATGGCAAAAGATACCATAAACAAATATGATAGATTTGAAAAACAAATGTTTAAAACCCTAGAGGACATGCAAAAGTATCTATAATATAGCAGACACTCTTAAAAATTTACAGGAGACGGGGTGCCTGGGGGACTCAGTCGGTCAAGTGTCTGACTCTTGATTTTGTCTCAGGTCATGATCTCAGGGTCATGAGATTGAGCCCCATATGGGGTTCTGCACTGCGCATGGAGTCTGCTCAAGATTCTCTCTCGCTTGCCCTCTGTCCCTTCCTTGACTCACCCTCCTCCTCCACCCACTCACACGCTGGCTTGTGTATGTGCCCTCTCTTAAAAAAAAATTTACAGGGAGACAAAACCATTCGTTGGAAAAATGGACACAGAATATAAAAATGCAGCTTGCAAGATAGGAAACCCACTCAGCAAGCTCATGGAAAGATGATCAAATTCATTTGTAGTCAAATGAATGCAAATAAAGTAACAATGAGATTTTACATCAACAGCACTTGTAAAAACTTAAAAAAAAAAAAAAGAGCTATAACATTATGGCCTGAGGAGACCTAGTGAAAGGCAGTATTTTTATTACTTGTGGGTGCAAACTGTGTACTGTTACAGCTTCCTTAGGGAAGTTTAGTTTTCTTTTTCTTTTTCTTTTTTTTAAAGATTTTATTTACTTATTTGACAGACCGAGATCACAAGTAGGCAGAGTCAGGCAGAAAGAGAGAGGAGGAAGCAGGCTCCCGGCTGAGCAGGGAGCCTGATGCAGGGCTCGATCCCAGGACCTGGGATCATGACCTGAGCCGGAGTCAGAGGCTTAACCCACTGAGCCACCCAGGCGCCCCGGAAGTTTCGTTTTCAAAATGAAAAATACATGTCCTCGACACAGTGATCCCACCCCTATCCACAGAAATAAAACAGCAGCATGTCTAGATAGAGATACAAGTATGCTTACTGAAGTACTTTTTGTAGGGGCAGAAAACTGGGAACAAATTGCTCCCCATGAATGGGGGAATACTGGAAGAGATCATGACATATCTATTGGAGAGTGTTATGTGACCATTAAAAGAAACAGCTGTTTAGGCTGTTAAGTTTTCACTTGGGAGGGATTTCCCCCAGGTATGACTGAGCCAGAAGGGCAAGGTAAGGAAAAGAATACATGTTTTCATTTTTGTCAAGCAATGACCTAAAATACTGCACTAAAGCACACAATGACCTAAACCACACACTGTATGTTTGTGTATGTGTGCACACAGACATGTTTGCATATGAATATATAAATTCTAAAAATATTTAGAATGAGACATATTAGGTCTTAATGGAAGGAATGTGATGAGATGAAGACAGAAAAGGAGAGATGGAGGTACTGAAAAGTGGGAAAGGGCTAAACTTTTAAAAGTATATCTGAATTTTAAACTGTATATCCAACTTTTTTTTTCTCCTCCAAACCAGCTCTTCCTTGTAACTTTATTATGCATATTAACCTGTTGAATTGAGTATTCCCATCCTTGGTCTTGACTGTTTCCTGCTCACTCTAATCCTTTCCTCAGGTTTATATGCCCTGTCTTCTTTATTGGAGTTTTCTGTTGCAATCACTTGTTGGGCCCCAAACTCATCTTCTCCTCTCCTTCCTTCTCATCTTCCTTTAGTATGCCTTTCCTCCCACTCTCTGTCCTCCTCATCCTCAAAATCCTGCCCATTCTTCAAGACTCCACTTAAATATCATTTTCTTTCTGAAGGCCTCTAAAAGCTTTCAAGTCATAAAGTCTCTTTTAAAATCATACAGCTATGGTTATCTGGGTCCTTCTTACGCACTGTTTTTGTACCTTTGTTACTTGTATAAATGTCATTATTTCTCCAAAAGGACTTCAAGTTCCAGAAGGGAAGGGGACATGCTTATTGACGCTTTTCTGTTCACTCCACAGGAGACAATGCAAAGTCTTGTGCATAAAAAGGTGTTAATTGATCCCATTGCCTTCCAAAAGGGCCATTATTAAATCCCCACCAAACTTCCAAATAATAGGAAATTTTAACTGAGGACATGAACTATTAATCAAAACACAATTTAAAAGAGTGCTATTTTTGAAAGAAAATGGTTGTATCTTATTTATGAAACGTTATCTGTAATTCAGTGTTAGACAATTAAAAGCAAGTACTGTGGACACCTGCTACAAAAGCTGGAAGGTTTCATGAAGCTAAGAGTACAGAACATCTCCTGTGTTCTATAGCAGGAGCCAAGAAACCTGGTTTGCGAAAGACGACTGTGAGACATAGACAGCTCAAGGTTCAGCAACGGAAGTTGGAAGACTGAGAAAAAGATGATGGATTTCAGAAAACTCTCAGAATTCACTGCACTGACTTCCATTTTCCACAGATAGCTAACTGCTTCTACTGGTTTAACTCTGAAAGGGTGTTTTTAAAAAATTGGTTAACAGAAGTAAAATTATCCATCAACTCAAGAATCAAAAAGAAAAACCAGATTGCCTGTAACTCATCTCTTGTTTCACGGGTAGATAAGAAATCAAAATTTCTCTCAAACAAATCTGCCAAAGTAATTGTCACAGCTTCCTCATGCACCCAGGAAAAAAACCCCACCTCTCCTCTTTTCATGTCCCCTTTCCAACCAAAAGCAGAAATCTATAGTCTCCCATAAGTCAGACAAATAGGACATTTTAAAAGTAATTATTTGGTTCTTTAGAGTAAGGAGGATGTATCTTTTAAAACCAAGCTGAGTCCATTAAGTAAGATTTAAAAACCTCTAAAAATGAAATTACAGGTAGCCCACAGTCTGAACGAATCCCTGCTGCAGGTGTGTGTGTGTGTGAGAGAAAAAGAGAGAGGGAGCCAGTGAGCAAATGATCACATGCATGAAGGCAGGAGGCAAAGTGTGTGTCCTGCATGGTTTCCCCTTCTCTTCCCTCCCTTTCTTCCCCACCTCCCAGCTCTTTCCCCCTCCTCCTTCCTTTTCCTTCCTTTTCCTTCTTTCTTTTTTTTTTCTTTTCCAAACTGAAGAGATCTTTCATAAAAAGTCAGATTTCTCTCTGTTAATCTTTAAAAACCCAGAAGGTGTGAATTACTAGACAGTAACCACTAGGTGGTGATGATGAGGGCTGGCCATCTTGATGAGCATGGACCTTCCAGGTGATGCATTCCCCACCCACCTTGCTTTCCTAGTTAGTCTTACTTACCCAGGCTTGTGAGGGCAGCTAAGTTTGAGAACTTTGCTCTAAGAAAACGGACAGAGTACACTTCCCAACCTAATTTTGAGTCCTCTGAGGGCAGGTTGGCCTTGTGTTTAAGAACATGGACCATGGGGCCAGAATTGCTGGATTAGAGTATCAGTTCCACTAGCTAGCTCCAGCCGTATTTGGGCAAGTAACTTAACCTCTCAGGAAACCCCTTTAATCTATAAATTGAGGACAGTAATAGTACTGCCTCATTGGGATGTTGTGAGGGATAGAATTTATTTATTTTTAAAAGATTTTATTTATTTGAGAAAGAGAGAGAAAGAGCATACGCTGGGGGGAGGGACAGAGCAGAGTGAGATGCAGACTCCCAACTTGAGCAGGGGGCCTTGATGCGGGCGGGACTTGATCCTGTGACCCTGGGATCATGACCCCAGCTGAAGACAGCTGCTTAAAGGACTGAGCCACCCGGACACCTCACAGAAGAGATTTAGCATTTAGAACAAACAGCGTCTTGGCACATATCAAACACCTGATGAGCATTAGCTTCTTTTGAAAACCTCAATATTTAGGTTTTGATCTGTGTTAAAGAAAAAAATTATTCTGATATTTGTGAAAACGGTAAGGAAGATTTTATTCAAGACTATTGGGACAGGTATCAAGACTATTGCATGAGGAGAGAAAGATCAAGTTCACCTCCAAATACAACTGCAAGAATAAGTGGGAATTTATAACTAAGTAGCAGCACCGGGTTGTCAGGCTTCCTGCTCAGCGGGGAGCCTGCTTCTCCTTCTCCCTCTGCCCCCCACTCATGCTTGCTCTCTCCCCCTAGTGCTCTCTCGCAAATGAAATCTCAAAAATAAATAAATAAATAAATAAATAAATAAATAAATAAAAACAAAAACAAAGAAAGACAGACAAAAGAAGAGGGCTCAGAGGAGACTGACTAAAGTCATTCCAAGAGGGAGTCCTTGTTGTCTTTGTCTTTTGCTGTGGTGAATTCGCATTTTCCATGAGACTCTTTGTAACAAAATGAATTCTTTCTGAATTGGCCAGGAATCACATGGTTCCTCTGAATCTGC